CTGCGGACCAAGCAGGGCCAGTACTAACAATCCCGGTGGTGCTTCGACTGCAGGACCGCAGGTTCAGACAAAGAGCACTGGCACCGCCAGGCGAGACATTATTCTGTAGTCCCAGAACATGAACCACCGGTGATGGTAGTAGACTGGGGGCTGTGTCGACAGGTCATGATCCCCGGGAATCTCAAGAGGAGAACTAGGATGTGTGGAGGATTATGGGAGTCGGCGGGTCCACTAATTCCCAGGAGCAAAAGTAAAAGGAACAATGAGAGGGGGCCATGAGGGAGATTGTCTGGATCACGACATGTAAACAGCCCTCACGCGCTTGGAAATTTTCAGCTTCCCCTTTCACACCCCTCTACCCCTCCGGCTCCCTAACGATGACTAAGAGCGCCCTTCGACAGGCGTAAAACCAAGAGCCAAGTTAGGTACCTTTACTTCTGATGTGAATCATACAAGACAGAAAATTCTTACAGGCAAATATCCCGAGAGAGGTTAGCGGCGAAGGAACAATCATAATTACCAATGGTAGTGAACAAGCCTTACCGGTCCTCCCAGGCTGCGGCAAGCTGCGCAGACTTCTCTGATAGGGTTTCTTAACGGGCTCCTTGAGCATGCCTCCCCTAGCGTGATTTCTGGGTAGCCCTGTTGGGCCACATTCTAAAACATTATATCAGCCCGTAGTCTCCCCCGTCCATCACCTAGCAGCCCAGGGAAGACTCCTCGCCAGGGCCAGCCTGAGGAAGCGCCAACTGGCGAACACCGCCTCAAAGTCCCACATCTTCAGGCTATCTGCCTTGGAGATATTATCCCTCACGCCCGGCAGCACCACCCCCTAATCTCTAACAGCCACTATTAGTGACATCGACCAGGGATTCAGTTCAGACGCGACAGAAAGAACCTACCTACCCAACCCAGCCCTTTATTAATAAACCCGCAACTATCCTAAGCTTAACAAGCGTCCAACGAGACCACAAATGTCCTCAGAAGTGCTCCGAGGGCGCCAGGGGCCAGACTCGGGAACCTCTATGAGCTCCGGATAAACTTCTAGGCCATAGTAAAGACTAGGGAGGGAAGATCCAGAGCGGTCAGCGACGGTTTACGGATAACATAAGTAGCGCTTCATGATTTTAGCTCCGCTAACACCTATTCCAAAAGCCAAAAAAGTGAAATAAATCAACTTTGTAGCCATTTCGAAGTTTAAACTACGAGTGCCCTCTGCTCCAGAGTGAATTTTTCCACCGCCCAAATACGGGCACTTTGGACGCACTCCACAATCCAAGGAAACATGACGGTAGTAGTACGCATATCCTCAACGGTATAGGATGGCGAAATACCCATTGGGAGGATCAAGGCGTAAGGAGCCCAAGACAGCTAGATTTATAGCCAGAATACGCGTTTCGAAGTGTGAATAAAGGAAAGTAGTGTACCACCGTGAGAGTGATATTTTACTCGGTTAATATAAAAAACGGTGGGGAAATTTGGGGGGCGGGGAGTTAATTGTGGGAGCCTACCACATCATACAGGACACTCGGGCATACAGTCGGTCCGGCCTTTGGCTTGTAGGGGGTCCGGATACCGAAAAAGGCACCGGCTTTAATCTAAAGTCAGCTCCGCCCTATCTTCAAGACAGAGGGAAAAGACGGTACTGACCGCAGCGCACTACCTGCAGCGCTTGGAATGCTTTGCGAGATTTCGAGAGTTGCACGGATTTCTTCCCCGGCATTCGGGAAATAGGGTTTAGCCACTACTACGACTAGAACACACCATCCAGAGGCCCCATGCCAAACTCCGCACTAGCCGGTCAGTTCGGGTTAATTTCGTGTCTGCAAGCATCTGATCAGTACTTGTTAGCAGCAATGAAGTCAACTATACTTACGACAGCGGAGACGTGGATAAATTTTACTACCTCTTCGAATACTATAGGTAATACATCTAGGCCCACATAGATGTGTTGAAGCAGCTATGCGGACAGCTCGTGAGGCTGGGTGGTGACACCTGGAGGCCCGTACCCAGGACGGAGGGGGATATGCAAAGCTGAGAATTTATGACACCCAAATTGAGTAATGACATTTTTGGGCTGGGGCCAAATTGGACAGTCGTGTCTGAAAAGTCTACG